GGAAGGATGGAAGTGCAGCACAGCCACCCACCCCCCCAACCCATTTTTGCTCCCAGAAGGCTGCAGGAAGGCCTACTAGGCCCAAAACAGGATGCGGGGTGGGGGGAGGCACCACCCACTCCATTTTTACCTCCACGGAGGTGCAGGAGGCCGAGTGCTACCTGTCAAAAAACCCTGGCCACACCCACCATGGCCACGCCCACTCAGCCGTCCATTAGGACAGAGAACCGGTTGTTAAATTATTTCAATCCCACCACTGCCCCCCGGTCTAAAAGGGTGAATGATCTTTATTAATTTGGGTAAAACCAATGTTGCTATCGCTTGATTGTATTGAATAGGACTTTCCCGTTGTGCCTCATCGCTGATGATTAGGCCGCTGTTGTTGTTTTTTGTTTAAAAAATTGTTTTCATTCCCACTAGGAAAAAAAAAAGAAGAACGAAGAGAAAGAGAGCGGGGCAACCAAACAGCCTTTGTGCAAAGAGAATGACGAAGAGGCTTTGCGGGAGGATAGCAGGCCTGAAACGGGACTCGTGGCAGAATCCAGGCCCCGCCCTCAAGCTGCCCAGAACCCAGGCTCCGTCCTCAAGCCGCCCAGAACCGGGAACAAGGACCTCAAAGTGCCACCCAGAGTGCTCGCTCTTGAAAATGAAGGGCCCCCAGCAGCTCCCCAAACCCAACCTCCCCTGGGTGCAGAAATCTTGCAGGAGGGGAAAAACGGGGCAACGGCAGATGGGCAGGATCTCAAGGAAGGAGCAGTTAAGGGCAAGAGGACTCCTGACTTGTTGGAAAAAAACATTCCACCCACGGAAAGTGCGCCCCATCGTAGCCCTACGCAGCATCCAGCTGCCCCTTCCTCCGAAAAGGTCCATGCCCCCGTCTCTGTTCCCAAAACGGGAGTGAAAACACACATGGAGACCCCCGTCTTTAAAACGCTGTACCCCGATTTATCACCGTTGTTAGCCGAAGGCCTGCCGGATTTTACCTTCCAGCTGCCGCATCGCGGGGAGAGGTTGTATCCTGAACTTCCAGTCGATTCCGAACCGATTCCATTTACCAAAGAACAGCTGAAGGTTTTTGAGCCCTGGTCCTGGCTGGGGAACGTCGAGGCTTACGTGGAGGAATTTGGTAGCCGGGCCTACCAGGACCAGCACGAGTTTTATGAGCTGGTGTTGAATTACTGCCGATGTCGGAAACAGTTGCTGCTAGCCGAAGCCAAATTGCAGAGCCTTTCCCTGGATAGCGAAAGTGTCAAAGAGCGGCTGTGGATTTTCAGGGATAAGCAGGAGAATGCCCAGGTGGGGTTAAGGAAGCTGGTTTGGGACCGAATGACAGAAGAGTTGGAAGGGACCCTGAGGTCTTCTAGTCCAACCCCCTCCTCAAGCAGGAGGCTCTATCACGTTTCAGACAAATGAGTTGCCATCAAAATCCCATGGTTCAGATTTCTGTGTCAGGGTTCCAAATAACAATCAAAATTAAATCAGAGTCCAAGGCAAAGTATTGCTCAAAGTTCCCATTTATTAAGAGAGCCGTTTTGGCACATTTGGGAAAACACGAATCTGAAAGCTTCCCGGTTTCCCCCACCCAGTTGAAAGTTC